TAGCACGTCTGTATTTTCTCCTTGCAATTTAGTGATAAAAAGCACAGTGAATGTACCTTTTCACTTTTTGAAGTACACATAACACTCGGATTTAAATCCGAGGTTTTCGCATTTATTTATTTTAAAACTAACATTATGAATTCAAAACGTTTTCTATATATATTATTGTTAACATGTAATGAGAAGTGTAATATGAATATAAATGAAGATTTTTTAATTGAACAATTAAACACTATTAGCAATGAATTCAATGTATTCGATGTTAAATTGAATGTACTTGGCCTAGCTGGATTAAATTATGTGATTTATCAAGATAAACAAATGTTAACTGAATATAATTGGCCAAAAATAACTACAGATACAAGATTACTTGTCAATTTGATTCATGAATTTTTTCATACATTTATACGATCTTATTCAAATGATTTTTCATGTGGTACACCTCATCGAGCAGAATCTTTAGAAGGTGGATATTTGTTTGAAAAACAAGTTTTTGGTACAATAAAGTACAATTTTTGGTATGACAACAGTTGTTGTCAATTGATATTTGATAAATATACATGGTCATTACCAACAAATAGCTGTTTATTTACAAGTGAAATGTTAGAATTATTCGAAATTGTAAGTAAAAACGATCGAAGATTTCGTCGAAATATTAAAAATATACAATTTTCTGGGATTGAACGACGTAGTAATAGAAAACTTGCATATGAATAAAAGTGTATTAAATATTTATTTAAATCAGATATTATATAGTAATAAAAGAAATATTAACACTATTAGAAAAGAAAAAAAAAACAAAGACGTACAAAACATACTATTTCCTGTTGAACACATATTATTCACACTTTTATTTATAATTTTTTTTTTCAAAAATGTTTGTTATATTCTGTTTACTTTTGTGTATTTTATTTGATGTGCAATGATATATTATTAGTGAAGGTTTTCATTTATAGGTATGCTTTATTGAATAAATAATATCGAAACATTTAAAAAAAATGAAAACCATTGTTTTTCATATAAATCTTGTTTAGGTAAAAAAAAATTCACAAACAAGTAACTGCAAGAATCATATTAATGATGTTTGAATATTATATCATATGTCAAGTTTTTAATATAAAAAAGAAAAATCCAATATTGATTCATTTTTGGAAATATGATAAAAACAGGAACAGTAAAAGAAGACGGTTTTGTTGGCATATAATTTTCAATTTGTTTTTTTTTTCATTTCAGATTCAATTAAACTCGTAGAACTCTAACTTGTAATATAGACAAAAGATTTACTTGTTTCAAGTGTAAAATAATAGATTTTCATTTAAATTTCTTAAAAGAATGAATTGTGTGAGTGAACTCTATTTTCTAGTCGAATACAAGTGTGAAGCTGTTTTATTTGAGGGATGAGGATGTCAATAATCAGCAAAGAAAATATCCGATTCAGACAATAAAACATTCATTATCGCTTATCATTGTTATAAAACAAAGAATCGTAAATAATTAAGAATATAAAAATATTTTCGTTTCAAATATTGATCTTTTCATTCGCAGTATTTATAATCAAGAGAACCTCCGTCGTAAAGATCATTGATCCAATCATTAGAAACAAATTGATTTGAACATAAATAATGAAAATGAGGTTCAATACTAAGAAATGATTCATATGATATAAAATCGATATTTGTGAACAGGAACATTGAACAGAATTAAAATGATCTCTTGATAAATATTTATAAGTAGAAAGTGGTAGTTTTGTTATTTGAATAGTTAGTAATTTTGGTATGAAAGCAAAAATGCAAAATATTTCATATAATATCGATAAAAGAAAAAATAAATGAAGTCGATTGATCATTTCTTGTTCAGTATCAAAGATGAATAGGTTTTTTATAATTGTTATAAGTCTAGAAAAGGAAATATTATTCATTATCTTTTCAATACATCGAAGAATAATTAAAGTAAGAAGTTTTAATGCAAGTGATAAACCACCAAAAATACCAATAGTTGTAATAACAATGAATATATCATTTCGGTTCATATATTTATATGTACACGATTTAGGAGCACATGTGTTATAATATGAAGAAAATGATACATTCGATGACCACGAATCAACCATAAGTTTATCAATAATTGATTCGATTGTTTCATTACGTGAATTAAAATTTTCATTCAAATTCGAAAAATTGAAAGACAATCCAAGAGGGTTATACATATATTTGTCTATTTCAAGCATATATGATCGATTGTAGAAACATTCTAGTGTTGATCTCAGCAACGCTTCGATTGGGAAACAACCCACAAAAGAAAATTGGGACGTTAAAATATGTAGTGGTAATCTTCCCAGTTGTTTGATCATAGTCGTATATACCCATAGAAGTATGACACGATGGAGATAAAGCACAAGCACAATTAGTGGCGGCGCCAGGGGTGGGCCAGGGTGGGCTCAGCCCACCCTGATTTACATCGAGCCCACCCTGAGAGATTTTGAAAGCTATGTAAAAAGAACACTTTGTGTGGGTTAGGGTGGGCTCAACCCATGATGAGCCCACCCTGAACTGAAATCCTGGCGCCGCTACTAAGCACAATCGTTATATTTCTTTATCTCTATGTGCATCTCTATGTTGTTCGAGTTTATAACAGGGGCATGCGTGTTAAAGAAACTACTTTTGAGTTGATTTCCATGAGTTATTGCTCGAAAAAGTTTGATAGTTTGTAAAAATCCCTCGATAGTTTGAGACTGTCAATTGCGAATAGATGAGTGGATTTTAAATTCAAAGAAATCTGGAGAAATAACTTGTGAAGAAGCAAATTGCGCTTGAAGAAATGTTTCGAGACTAATATTAACTGTATGTTGAGCTTGTTCACAAAATATTGACAATAACTCAAAAGGATATTTACCAGAAAATCGGTAGTCATTTATATTATAGATAATAGATGGGTTAAAAGCATTGTCGAAATTATAATTGATCAATTGATCAGAAACAATACCACTAGAACATACTTGATGAAAAGAAGGTTGAATTGTAATAAAAGTCGAATAATTCATAGAGATTGATGAACATGAACAATAAAGATTTGAAGAATACATTTGTTGAAGTTGATTATATTGAAATTCAGATGGTTGAACAATTGTATTTTGTTGAATATTTTCAATTAATAATGTGTAGAAACGTAATATAATAAGAAAAATAAGAAGAATGATAATGTAAAGTCTAGTAGAAATGCATTGATAATCGATTTGTCGTTGAGTACTTTCATTATGTATAAACATATTTAGTTCAATAAAAGATTTGTTCAAAAATCTTTTTATTTTTACTGAAAATAGAAATAAAAAAAGAAAATATTTCATTTCAATTGTAAATATCTTAACAACTTTATTTATATTTAATAAAATCGAATATTTATATTATATTGCATGTAATTTCAATTAATTCAAATTTAATCAAATAAAATATTTTAATCTCATTTTGTTAATTTATCAAAAACTGAAGAATAAGATTTATTAATAGAAGTTATCAATGTATATCAAATTGTTCATATTATTAATTTTCAATTTAAATATGTAAAACATTTCAAACGCGATACAGAATTTAAATATTTTGTGTTGCATATTATCAATGAATGCAAAATCAATCATACGTATAACCATAATTTCATACAAAATAAAACTATTTTTAAATTTTGATCAGAAACAAATTAAAAATATTTTTGCTCTAAACAGACTTCTGTAGGAAATTAAGCTAGAAGTTTTCCCTTCAAAGTCAAACTTCTGTCTAGTACGTTGAAATTTAACGGTGCTTTCTATTGGGTTGACAAGAACGTTTTTGCGTTTTTTTTCAATTTCCTAGAACAGTCGAGAAAGTTCTAGAAGTTTCCATACTAAGGGTATATAAAGGGAGTACGAATATCTTTCGAACAACAGCAAAACTATGGATATGGGCGTTGATCTCGAATTAGAAATGAGGATATCTCGTAGAGAGCGTCGAGTGCTTC